GTTTGCTGGAGGTCCACTCCAGACCCTGTTTGCCTGGGTATCACCAGTGGAGGCTACAGAACAGCAAATATTGCAGAACAGCAGTTATTGCTGGCTGATGCTTCCTCCGGAAGCTTCATCCCAGAAGGGCACCCGCCTACATGAGGTGTCTGTCGGCCCCTACTGGGAGGTGTCTCACAGGCTACTTTGGGGTCAGAGACCCACTTGAGGAGGCAGTCTGTTCATTCTCAGAGCTCAAATGCCGTGCTGGGACAACCACTGCTCTCTTCAGAGCTGTCAGACAGGGACATTTAAGTCTGCAGAAGTTGTCTCCTGCCTTTTGTTCAGCTATGCCCTGCCCACAGAGGTGCAGTCTATAGGGACAGTATGCCTTGCTGAGCTGCGGTTGTCTCTGCCTAGTTCAAGCTTCCTGGCCACTTTGTTTACCTACTCAAGCCTCAGCAATGGCGGACGCCCCACCACCAGCCAGGCTGCCGCCTCGCAGTTCAATCTCAGCCTGCTATACTAGCAGTGAGCAAGGCTCCGTGGGCGTGTGACCCGCCAAGCCAGGCACAGGAGAGAATCTCCTTGTCTGCCGGTTGCTAAGACCTTGGGAAAAGTGCAGTATTTGGGCAGAAGTGTCCTGTTTTTCCAGGTACAGTCAGTCACAACTTCCCTTGGCTAGGGAAAGGAAATCCCCCAACCCCTTGCACTTCCTGGGTGAAGCAACACCCGCTCTGCTTTGGCTCGCCCTCCACGGGCTGCACCCACTGTCCAACCAGTCCCAACGAGATGAACCAGGTACCTCAGTTGGAAATGCAGAAATCACCTGTCTTCTGCATCAATCATGCTGGGAGCTGCAAACCAGAGCTATTCCTATTTGGCCATCTTGGAATGGCATTTTTTTGTATTTTTAGTAGACACAGGGTTTCACCGTGTTAGCCAGGACGGTCTCAATCTCCTGACCTCCTGATCTGCCTGCCTTGGCCTCCCAAAGTGCTGGGATAACAGGCATGAGCCACCATGCCTGGCCACTCAGTTTCCCTTTCTATAAAATGCATTTTATCTGGCATATGGCACTCAAAAAATCATCCCCATACAAAGGGAAAAAAATTATCCCTCTACAAAGGGAAAAGTATAATCAATGTGACCCTCTGGGAACATTAACCTACTGACAAAGTACAGGATACAATGGATAAGAAATGGAAAATGGACACAAAATGGGAATTGAAAAGAAGCGATGAATGAAAAACATTTGGAAGAAAAATTGCACAGGATTGGAGATGACGTCCAAGAACATGAAAAGAATCAAAAATATAACCAATGTTTCAAGATTATGTGAGACTAGAACAGTGATGTGACCAGAACTTGGGTGCATAATGGTAAATGGTAAAGTCATGACAAATTAAAACATGGATGTTCCCCTAGACACTACAGCTTTTTCCCTTTACACCCATTATATATATTTCTTAGACCAATAGAAATAGAATACAGCATACTTATGTAATTACAAAATTTCTAGTAGCCACTTTAAAAGGTGAAACAGAAACTGGTAAAATTAATTTTAGTAATGTATTTCACTTAACCTCATATATTCAAATATTATTTCGACATATAACCAATACAAAAAATATTAAGAGATTTTGATATATTTTACATTCTTCATTCTGTTTTACATGAATTTTTCAAAATCTGATTTTTACTTTACACTTACAGCACATCACAATTTAGCCACAAATGTAAGTGGCTACCATATTGGAAACACAAGTTTAGACTATTAAATACTATAATTAAGTTTTATTACTGGATGACTGGGGAAAGAAACTGAAGTATATTCATTCAGTGTTTACACTACTCAGCAATAAAAAGAAATGGACTATAATAGGGATAAATACTGCATGTTGTATTAGTCCGTTTTCATGCTGCTGATAAAGACATACCCAAGACTGTACAATTTACAAAAGAAAGAGATTTATTGCACTCACAGTTTCACATGTCTGGGGAGACCTCACAATGATGGCGGAAGGTAAAGGCACGTCTCACATGGTGGCAGACAAGAGAGCTTGTGCAGGGAAACTCCCATTTTTAAAACCATCAGATCTCCTGAGACTTATTCACTATTATGAGAACAGCATAGGAAAGACCTGCCCCCATGATTCAATTACCTCCCACCGGGTCCCTCCTGCAACACGTGGGAATTCAAGATTAAATTTGGGTGGGGACACAGCCAAACCATATTCTACCCCAGGACCCTCCCAAATCTCATGTCCTCACATTTCAAAACCAATCATGCCTCCTAGGCCTCCGGGCTTGTGATGGGAGGGGCTGCTGTGAAGACCTCTGACATGCCTTGGGGGACATTTTCCCCATTGTCTTGGGGATTAACATTCATCTCCTCATGACTTATGCAAATTTCTGCAGCTGGCTTGAATTTCTCCTCAGAAAATGGGATTTTCTTTTCCACTGCATTGTCAGGCTGCAATTTTCCAAACTTTTGTGCTGTTTCCCTTTTAAAACTGAATGCCTTTAACAACACCAAGTCACCTCTTGAGTGCTTTGCTGCTTAGAAATTTCTTCCACCAGACACCCTAAATCATCTCTCAATTTCAAAGTCCCACAGATCTCTAGGAAAGGGGCAAAATGCTACCAGTCTCTCTACTAAAACATAACAAGAGTCGCCTTTGCTCTAGTTCCCAACAAGTTCCTCATCTCCATCTGAGACCACCACAGCCTAGATTTCATTGTCCATATCATTATCAGTATATTGGTCAAAGCCACTCAACAAGTCCCTAGGGAGTTCCAAACTTTCCCACATTTTCCTGTATTCTTCTGAGCCCTCCAAACTTTTCCAACCTCTGCCTCTTACCCAGTTGCAAGGTCACTTCAACATTTGCATCAGCACCCAACTCTACTGGTACCAATATACTGTATTAGTTCATTTTCATGCTGCTGATAAAGACATACCTAAGACTGGGCAATCTACAAAAGAAAGAGGTTTATTGGACTCACAGTTCCACGTGGCTGAGGAGGCCTCACAATCATGTTGGAAGGTGAAAGGCATGTCTCACATGGCAGCAGACAAGAGAAGAGAATTTGTGCTGGGAAACTCCCCCTTTTAAAACCATCAGATCTCCTGAGACTTTTTCGTCATCACAAGAACAGCACAGGGAAGACTTGCCCCCATGATTCAATTACCTCCCACTGGCTTCCTCCCACAACACGTGGGAATTCAAGATGAAATTTGGGTGGGGACACAGTCACACCATATCAAATCTTTTATGCTAACTGGAAAAAAAAATCAGATTCAAAAGGCTATATCCTATGTGATTCTATTTATGTGACATTTGGGAAAAGGCCAAAATTTTAAAAGCAAACACATCAATGGTTGCCTGGGGCTGGGATTAGGGAAGGCCTTGACTGAATTCACAGGGAATTTTGGGGGTCTGATCGAACTGTTCTATGTCTCAATTATAGTGATACTTACATTACTGCATACATTTGTCAAAACTCATAAAATTGTACACTAAAAAGTGAATTTACTGCATACAAATTATATCTAAGTGAATCTGATATTAAAACTTATTACAAGATAATGCTAATTATACAAGACCAAAATGTTTAAAAAGCAGGGTTTTTAAATATGACCATACAAAAGAAAAATGTAAGGGTATTAATAAAGGGGGCACATTTTCTTACTAAATCTCACGATGTGCTATATTACATAATTCTTATCACATTTTACAAAGCAATCGCAAACAGTATATTTTTATTTTCACAATGGTACACTAATATAAAATGTTTTAAGCTAGGATAGTTTATTTAAAATACATTCTCCCCTTAAATATGACACCAAAAGCATAGGCAACCAAATAAATGTTAGATAAACTGGACTTCATCAAAATTTAAAACTTTTGTGCCTCAAAGAGTACCATAAAGTGAAAGACAACCCACTGTATGGGAAAACTATTTGCAAATCATATATCTGATAAGGGACTTGTATCTAAACATATAACTTAAAAGTTCTTATTATTAATTTTTAAAAATCCAATTTAAAAAATGGGCAAAGATCTTAAGGACATTTCTCCAAAGAAAATAGACAAATGCCATTAAGCTCATGAAAAGATGTTCAGCATCATTAGTTATTAGGGAAATGCAAATCAAAACCACAATGAGGTAACTCTTTTACACTTGCAGTATGGCTATAATCAAAAAGATAATCTAGTAGATGTTGGTGAGGATGTGTAGAAATTAGGACCTTCATGCACTACTGGTAGGAATGTAAAATGGTACAGGCAGTTTGGAAAACAGCAATTCCTCAAAAGGTCAACACAAGATTTCCATATGACCCAGCAATTCCATTCCTGGCTATATAACCAAGAGAAATGAAAACATACGTGCACACAAAAACTTATACATGCATATTCAAAGTATTTAAAATTGCCAGACAGTAGAAACAACCCAAATAACCCAAAGCTACCAACTGATAAACAGGTAAATTAAATGTGTTATATATAACAGAATATTACTTGCCAATAAAAAGAAATAAAGTACTGATAGGTGCTGCAACATGGATGAACCTTGAAAACATCTTAAGTAAAAGTCAGTCACAAAGACCACATATTATATGATTCCATGTATATGAAATTTCCAGAACAGACAAATTTATTGAGACATAAAATAGATTAGTGGTTGCCTAGGGCTGTAAGGGATTGAGGGGAGCAGGGTCAGGGTGGGGTGGCTAAAGGGTATGAAGTGTTCTTTAGGGATTATGAAAATGGTTGTGGTGATAGTTGCACAATTCTATGAATACACCAAAAGCCACTGAATTGTATACTTTAAAAGGGTGAATTACATTACATCTCAATACAGTTGTTAAAAAATATTCTATGGCAGGGGAAAGAGTTTTCAGTAAATACTAATAAAATAACTGAAATGTCAAAATGGCATCTATACAAATGTGTAACCTTAATAATTTTATTGTATTTTTGGCATTAAGTTAGGAAAAATACTAAAATAATTACCCTTTCTACTGAAGACAACTGCTGCTGTAATCCATCACACTTTTTGTTTGCTTCTTCGAAAAGAGTCTTATATTTTTCTACTTGAGACTGCTGCATATTAATTGTTCGCTGCTGTCTCATAAAATCTTCTTCAAATTTTTTTACTTGAGACTTTAAATTCTGAATTTCATCCTCCTACAGTTATGAAATTACAGATTATGTGAAAAAATATGTAAGATTTGTTATCAAAACAAAGCAGAGAAAAAGAAGTTTCATATGTTCTTTGACATTTATACACATTTCATGAAAAACAAGTTACAGTCTATTTTTACCTTCAAAAATGGAGTCAAATGTTTTATTTGCATTTAATAGCTTACACTACACTTGTAAGACTAATATAGAGAATACTAATTATAACAAAAATGTAAGATATTTCAGCTCTGTGAAAATTCAACATATCAGAATAAAGTTCAGTACTTATATACAATTTTTGATTTCAAAATTTAACTATGATTTATATCTAAATAAAGTTATTCAAAATGTAATGGAAATTGCTCCTAAAATGTCTTTGAATATTGCAGCCTTTTAAGAGGTTTTTAAAGCTTACCTTTTTATTGCATTCACATACAACATTATCCAATTCCTCCTGCATAACACGGAGTTTGGCCTTTAGAAATCTGATCTGTGCTTCTGTGAATTTAAATAATTATATTTACTGTCTTTTGCTGAATCTAAGATGACATCAATTGTAAGACAGGCCATTACTTTATAAAGAAGAAAATACTCAAGATGGGGAGTCAAATAGGAGATATCTCTTAGGGGGCACTATAGGTACTAAACAGTCCTAATGAAAAGGTCAATGACGAATAAATCCAGTCAACAGAAAGAAATCACAGGTAGTATTCACATAAGTTTGCAGACTAAATTCACACTCACCAGGGTGGTCCAAACTACATCAGAGAATTTAAAGTGTTCTCAGGTCAATAATGTCCCTGAGTGTTTGGTAGAAACAAACATAAATCTTCTCTAGCAAAACTCAGCTTCAATCTAGTCATTGTGATTACAAAATGCCACTGACTGTAATGCAGATGCCAATTTCTGAGCAGTTAAAATGTAATATATGTGTCTTTGAAGCAAAGAAATACACTAATACCTTACTGTCTAAGCTTTCTCCCACAAACCTTCAAGATCTATGTTTGGTATTTTACTGCCAGCAAAAGTTCATTATTCAATAATATCAGCAGTAAATCTTTGAAGTTTGTAGGCCCATAAAGTAAATAAAGTGAAAACTGAATTAAGAACTCACTCATAAGTCATTCAGTCATTTGTTCAAAATGGCATAGTAGGAATATTATAAAACAATCATGAAATTTATCTTGAGGAAACACTTGGAACTGCTCTGAGAAGTCATTAGGACAAATCCACTAAGCCATACACATGTGATGTGCACAGCATAAAACATCTCCATACACACTTCTGGCTTTTTTAAGTGCCCTCAGTGTTATCATCGGGCTGATGAATTATGGGTTGGCTCTAACTCTACCTAGGTCTCTTTGGCCTCAACTCTCCTACCATATAACTCCAGGTGAGCAGGGAATAGAGGGAAATGACAAATTAAAAAGTGTGAAGTTGACAGTAGTTGGCCTATGAGGGAAAGAAGGAAGAAAAAATAGGAAAGCATGACTTTTCCCATTTCTTTTTCTCCCTAACTCTAACCTTAGTAACTCTACCTCAACTCTAACCCAAGGAGCAGAGTGCTCCCATGTCTGGAGGCCCACAGTACTAAACTCTGCTCCCCACTCGACCTTAGCTTTAATCTTACAAAGTAATCTGTGCTCCCAAACTACTTCTTGATCTTTTTCTCCCACACATAACCAAACCATTCCAAGCAATCACCTGAAATAAGAGAAAATTCTCCCAAAGAAGAAGATACCTGGACCAGTGATACTAAAAAGGGAACACAGGGAGGCAGTTCTAACAGGGCCATGGGACCTGGGACCATGTTCCTCTACCGAGGAACAATCAACACCTGGGTATCACATCCTCAAAAGCATCTTAGAGAGACCTAAAGGCAACTTACTGCTCCACTTACATTTCCTTACCATAACTAGCCCTAGAAAGCTTGATTCGGTCAGTAAATATAGTAAGTGCAGAAGAAAATTGCTCCCTACTTATGACTAGTATATAACACAATAATTATTACATATATAAATTATGATTTCTCACAGAATCAAATAATTTTAAAGATAAACTGATATGGTTTGGATCTGTGTCCCCACCCAAATCTCATGTTGAATTGTAATCCTGTGTTGGAGGTGGGGCCTGGTAGGAGGTGAATGGATCATGGGGGTGATTTCTCATAAATGGTTTAGTATCATCCCTTTTGGTACTGTCCTCATAATAGTGACTTCTCATGAAATCTGGTTGTTTAAAAACATGTAGCACCTCCCCCCTCTATCTCTTGTTCGTGATCCCACCGTGTGAGGTGTCTCACTCCCTGTTTGCCTTCCACCATGATTGGAAGTTTCCTGTGGCCTCCCCAGAAGCAGAAACTGCTATGCTTCCTGTACAGCCTGCAGTACCATGAGCCAATTAAACCTTTTCTTTATAAATTACACAGTCTTAGGTATTTCTTTATAGCAGTGCAGGAACAGACTAATACATAAACTTTATGATCATCTAATACAAACTGCTAAATTTTCAAATGAATAAACTGCTATTACAGAGGGGCTAAGTGGCCTGCCTGTAGTCACAATTAATTGTATTATAGTTCGGCAGTAACTAGTTCATATATACTCAATTGTCTTACTTTTTTGCTTCAATAGCATAGGAGGCTCCTCATAAATTTAGTAATGTTTTTAGTTGATTGAAATTTAGTATTATTCTAGTGATACGCAAAGAATGAGTTAATAAGAAAAATTATATACATTAGAAAATTCATTTATTTTACCTGATGCAATGTCAATTCATTTGTCCTTTTGCATGTGTTGATTTAACACGCAATAAATAAAATATAGTAACAGTAAATGAAAAAATTCAGAAAAACTTTTTAAATATTGTAACAATAAGCGATGGGTATTTTAACTTAAGTTGAAATGTATTCAATCAAACCAGTAAATACAGTCTTTTTTATTTTTACTTTTTATAATGGAAAATATGAAACATAAAAGTAGGCAAGTTCAATGAACCCCATTTACCCACTGCCTATCTTTAACAATGACTGACTCATGGCCAGTTTTATTTCATCTATAATCCCATTCATTCCTCCCTCCACCACATCCTACTAGATTATACTGAAACAAACCAAGACATCACAATACGTTTTTTTTTAATGTAAGAAATAGTTCCCCAAGACTTCCTCTTCTAAGTAACTGTGCTATAAAGATAAAAATAAGAAACAAAAGAAAATCTACCTGTTCCAATGTCATTACTAACACCAGAAAAAATATCATCTGTATATTCAGGTAAGCCTTCTTCCTCCAGTTGCCCTTCAATTTTGCTAATTGTTTTTGCAAGGGAAAAGTCTGAGAAATCCTCTGGAATGGCAACATCGTCGGCAGTTTGGACATTGGAGTATTTCAATTTAACACTAAAAAATAAAAATTAAATACATATGTATGTATATACATATATGTGAACAAAATAGAAAGGTAGAAAGGATATATGCCTTTTACCCAAATAAGCAGATCAAAATTATTATAAATTTAAATTTATGATGAAATCTGTAATTTATATTAAGGTTTATATTACAAGAGACTACTATTACACATTTCAAATTTATGATGAAATCTACATATGATACTTTCAAGGACTATATTACAAGAGACTTAGCAGATTTTTGGTCTTTATGAATCACATGACCACAGAGCTAGAGAAGGCTTTATGAGGCCAGATGGTCTAGACTTTGCCTCCATATAAGGGAATACCAAAACTAAGAGTACTGCACTTGGCCTCCTAGGTCAAATCCAGCCTGTGGCTTTGAAATTTACATGCCTCTGGAGAAAAACTGTATAAACTGACATCACCCTGGCCATAATTCTGCAAACAGCAAAGAAAAATACCTCCTGAGAAAAAATTACAGAGTGAAGAGCTAATAGCTCAATCAAACAACATTTTTTTCCACCCAAAGAAACACATTCTTACCATGATCAATATTAACCAAAAAGTTGGATTTGATTTTTTTTTAATGAAATGGAGAAGACCGACAAAATAAAACTCATTTCTAAAGGCACTGAGGAATGGGCCAGGCCTAATTCATTGACACATCAACAAATTTATGGTTCTGAAAGCCAAATTCACTTTTAAAACATAAGCAAATGCTTTAGAATTCTTTTCTTTTCATTTTAATTTTTTGTGGGTACACAGTAGGTGTACATATTTATGAGATGTTTTGATACAGGAATGCAATGTGAAATGAGCACATTATGAAGAAGGGGGTATCCATCCCCTCAAGCATTTATTGCTTGAATTACAAACAATCTAAATACACTCTTTAAGTTATTTTAAAAATACAATTAAGTTATTATTGGCTATGGTCACCCTATTGTGCTATCAAATAGTAGGTCTTGGTCTTTGGAATTCTATTTGAAAAATCAACTTTAAAAAAAAAAAATGTGAAGTCTGAAAAGGTAACCCTTTCCAGTTATGTATGCATGTATGTGGCCTATAAGTTCTTTTCTTCAATCTATTGTATAGTTATTTTCTGTTCCTTATCACTTTACTCTATTTTTTCCATCCCTTTTATTTAAAAAAACCAAAAACAAAAAAGTTATTTAAACAATTAAAAGACACAAAAATGAACAAAGATTTTTCCAAAATTACAATGCAGTGATCAGTTTGGGTAAGTAATAGACATCTAAATGTAATAACTGACTGAAGATGGTTGGTGCAACTCAATCCTCCACCTTTTCTAGAAAGCATCCTATCCTAGGGAGCATCTTGGGTCCCTTTTTATGCCTATAATACTAAGAACTGTCTTGAATTCTTTCTCACCAAAAACAATAAAATGTAAATTATAATTATATTATAGTCCTATTTAGAGCATGGCAAATAATTCTGTAGCTCAATAGACAAAATAATGTATGCACTTTGTCAAATACTCAAAAACTAAACTATTGAGCCTATTTGAGAGAACTAGGCAGCGATCAAAAAACAAAACAAAACAAAACAAACCTCAGTTGCAGTCACAGTTCTAAGAGAATAAATCACTAGAAATAACATTTATAAAAATTTTAGATTTAGAATTTTTCTTGAGAACAATATAAAGTATTTGTTAACTGCTGCAAAACATTTCTGAGTAGAAAATGTTCTAAATTACTGAATATGGATAAGATATATGCAGGGTAACTTAATGTTTAGGGTATAAAAAGATCTGGAAAAACAAACAGAGCTTAAAAATTAAGAATGATGGTATTGTGAATTATACAACTAAAAAAAAAAGAAATACTTTGAAAACTATACTATACCTTGAATTTGTTTTCCTTCCTTTATTTGCAGAGTGTAATTTGTTTTGAACCTTGTTTACAGGATCAATGTTTTTGGTCTTTGGCTACATTAAAAGAATTGAAAGTATTGATTAATTAGAGTCTAATTATTTGCCAAAGAAAGCAATTCTGTAACACATAGAATTGCTATTTTGCTACACAGAAAAACTGCTATTTTGATGGAATTACCAAAAATGTCTTTTCAAGAATATCACAACTGTATAGCTGGAAAAGACCTAGATAATACCAAAACCAAGAAATTCAAGGATAAGGAAAATGAGTCCTAAAGATTCAATGGTATTCAGCTAGCCAGTGGACTGTCGTGAATAAATCTGGACATTCTGACTCACAGAATTTAGTTCTCCTCAGGAACCAATTATTCCCCAGGCAGGCCTTCCGTGGCCTTCAGGTATATAGTTCCCTTGGCTTAGGTCTCCATGGATGGGAAACATAGATCCCAGTATGTTCTACACCTAGAAGAGTGATCTCTACACTATAAATATTTAAATGAACGAACAAACTTTTCAAATCACCTTCTTTGCATATGAGTATCATTCTTTTTCAGGTCTTCGCTCTACTAGATGTAAGCTTCAGAAAAAAAAAATAAGCCTCAGTTTACAAAGTCATTTCACCTAGAATTTTTTCCACTGTACCTCCAAATTATTCAGTGAAATTATGAGACAACAAAGGATTCCATTTATTATATGAGTGACATTTCATAAATGCATCCCTCTGAGTATCAAGGTTTATATTGTTTCTGTTGAGTCATACCCCTTCTCTGCTTTGTCTAAGAAAAGTCTAAAAAAACCTAAGTTCTACAGAATATAATTGTATTCAGAGAAAGTTTAATTTCATACCTTAGTTTCTGAATGAAGATGAACTATCCCTTCAGATGGTAATACACCTCTACAGACCAAAAATAAACATTATACATTAATAATAGATGACATTGAGCTGAGACAATGATATTCAACAATTGTATTTGAAAGGGAAACTATTCAACTATCAAATAATCTTTGCTATAATTGTAGTTATCCACATGTTAATTTTTTCTGAATGAGTACCATAAACAAGAAAAATGCTTTGGTTACATAATTCACCTTTAAGAAGATACACTATAATGCCAATATTCTAGTAGGAAACTAGCAAAAATTTTAATGAATGGAAATCATCAAGAGTAATTGTGGGCTATCCACAGCAATTACCCATTTTACAAACGATTCACCACAGGGCTTTTTATTATGAGCCCACTCAATGTTATCATTCTTTTAATCCACTTAAAACACTTGGTCAGTGCCTGTTTTCCTCATTATACTGTGAACTCTATGAGGGCAGAAATCATGTCTGCCTTGTTCAATATTCTATGCCTAGTCAATATAAAGGTTATATGCCAGGTACTACTACTGGCTTAAGTATTTGTTGAGTGCATGAATAAACACATCTAAAATGCAATTTATTTTTATACACAAGGTTTTCCAAATATATTTGTAGTTTAAAACAAGGAGTGTCGGCCGGGCGCAGTGGCTCACACCTGTAATCCCAGCACTTTGGGAGGCCAAGGCGGGCGGATCACAAGGTCAGGAGATCGAGACCATCCTGGCTAACACAGTGAAACCCCGTCTCTACTAAAAACACAAAAAATCAGCCAGGCGTGGTGGCGGGCACCTGTAGTCCCAGCTACTTGGGAGGCTGAGGAAGGAGAATGGCATGAACCCAGGAGGTGGAGCTTTCAGTGAGCCGAGATTGCGCCACTGCACTCCAGAGCGAAACTCTGTCTCAAACGACAACAACAAAAAAACAAGGAGTGTTTATGGAAGTCTGCAAACTATGGCCCACAGGCTGAATCCACCCACTCATTCATTTATGTCTGATCTATGGCTGTTTTCACACTACAACCTTAAAGTTAAGTAGGTACAACACAGACTAGCCCACAAATCTAAAAATATTTGCTATCTGCCCCTTTACAGAAAAAGTTTGCCTAACACATTGTCTTGGGCATTGTATTTACATCTCTGAAAACATACCATGTTAGCATCCATTATTGCTATGAAAAAACTCCATCATATCCCCTGAGAAGTCCTAACCATTGGAGAGGACATACAACTAAAATTATTTTCCATCAGATGCCTCCCACTGAGCTAGCCATGCATAAGTTTTTTCAGTATTAAATACAAAGATACACTTAGATAAATAAACCTCTTAACTATTAGAAATACCTCTGGGAAGAAAAAAAAGGCTTTCAAAATATGTTAAAAATTACAGAAACTAAATCACTCTCACAAATGACATGAAAATGTTTCCAAATATTATACAAATTTTAAGTGTCCTCTTTAATCTTCCTCATTTTAAATTAATGTTTGTCATTTCTTTAGTACATTTTCTGTACCTCTCATTCCATTCCCCAACACACATGCGTACATATCAGTCAAAAGACATTTAAGGGTTATCTGTCTCCATCAGATTTTGCAATGATATTACTTTGCTAGTGTATTTCCATCAAAAATAAGCTATAATATGGTATTCTTACTTTTGTTTAACTCCATGAAATGTTTGTAATATGATGGAAATGACTGTATGGTAAACCATGCTTCAAGCAGACTGGAGGATATGTATACTACGTTATTAGGAGATTAAACTCTGGTTTCCCATCACAGTTTTTGACAGAGTCATCCTGGGTGTTGAAGACCTATTTAAATATATTCTTCCTTATTTAGGTGGAATATCATTGTTACAACCTGAAATGAATGGTTTCTTTACAGAATTATTTCCCATATTCAGCAATTCCCAACTGATCACCAAATGCCATGTTTTACATGGTAAAAGCCATCTGTTCAAACAGTAGCATTTAAAAAAACTGATAGATAAACAGAGCGTTATCATCACAACATCATCTGTTGTTAGTATCATTTCAGTTCTTCAGTTTACTGGATAAACACCATGTTAAATCTTATGTATAATCCAAATTTTGGAATTTTGATAACTTAAATATCTTTTTTTACAGAATATCAGAGTATTACAGCTAATAAAGTGGTTTCATGTTATATGTATGCATACATATGTATATCAAAATACAAAAATGTGTAATTGAGGTACTTAAAAAATACTCAAAAGCAACACATATTAACTTCTTGGAAACAAGATCAGGTCTGTTTACTCACCACTGTAATACCAGTAGCTAGACCTGGCACTAACAGTGTTCAAAAATTATTTTTTTCAGGTTTGAGATATAATTGATATATCATACAATATACTCTTTTTACATATACAGTTCAATATGTTTTAGCAAACATATATTGTCACATAACCACCACAACCACAAGACAGAGAATATTTCCATCATCTCAAAAAGTTCCCTTGTGTTCCTTGGTAGTCCCCTAACCCCTACTCAAGCCCCAGACAACCATCTTGATTTCTGTCCCTAAAGCTCTGCCTTTTCCAGAGCATCAAATAAGTGGAAACATAGATTATATATGTTTTTTAGCCTGGCTTCTTTCACTTAGCAAATATGTTGTTATTCTACTAGTAGTTCATGGCTTTTTATTGCCAAGTAGTATTCCACTGCATGGATATACCATAATTTGTTCATCCAGCCACCATTTGATAAATATTTGAATTATTTCCAGGTTTTGGTAATTATGAATAAAACTGATCTAAAAATTCACATGCAGGTTTTTTCATGGATATATGTTTATATTTCTCTTGGGTAAATATCTAGGAAAGGAAATACTGGATTGTATGCAATAATTATTTTTGAATACATGAATAATATCCCAATATTTCACATGAGCCAAATATACTGCCATGTAGGAATAAACTTTTCTTTTGTCTCTAAACCCTGTAGGGCTGTGCACCTCTTACAGCCTGCTTCTTGATCTTAGAATACTGGGAGGTGGGGTACCCATAGCTGTTTTAATATTTTAAAAGCCACAAATAATTTTAGTCCATTCCTAGAGTTTCTTTGCTGATAAAACTTTCCCCCAAACTAGTGGGTTTCTTCCCTATTTAATTTCAGTCAGTTCTACATGCCATTACATCACCTACAATTCTTTCCAAGACTAATTCTTTATTTCTTCACCTGACCTCTCTTTCTCAATTTAAAAATGGGTTAAACAGTGTCAAGCTTCTAAGGAGAGACTTTAACTTTAGTTAGGTCTTTGCCGTGGGTCATTTTACCCAAATGAAAAGTTTCACTATGTGCCATTTAATCTGATTCTTGCCCTGAGAAGCCTTAATCCACTGGAAAATTTTATCAATAGTCATAAAGTCCACATGTTTAGTCTGATATTTGCCTCAAGGTTGAATTTTGATAGGCTTTTGTTCCTTATAGATTTTCTCAATTTTATCTTGTAATTCTTGAGGTCTAAAACCAGTTTACTCCACAACTTGACAATTACAACAAGGGTAATCAAGAGTGTGCTACTGGCATAATGACAGCTATATAGATCAATGGAACAGATATGAAAGTCCAAAAATAAAACCATATGTCTACAGTCAACTGATTTTTGACAAGAGTGCTAAGAACATTCAATGGGGAAAGAATAGTCTTCTCAACAAATAATGCTGAGACAAATGGCTATCCATGTGCAAAAGAATGGAGGTTGACTCCTATACCACATACAAAAATTAGATTATCTGAATTAGATAATTAGATTATCTAATTAAATTATCTGAATTAGATAATCAGGTATTCCCTTTTATTTCTGCTTGCAAATCAGCCAAATCTATCCCAAACTTGTCTCTTCAAGAGCACATACTGAGGCCGGGCGCGGTGGCTCACGCCTGTAATCCCAGCACTTTGGGAGGCCGAGGAGGGCGGATCACGAGGTCAGGAGATTGAGACCATCCTGGCGAACACGGTGAAACCCCATCTCTACTAAAAATACAAAAAAAATTAGCCGGACGCGGTGGCGGGCGCCTGTAGTCCCAGCTACTCGGGAGGCTGAGGCAGGAGAATGGCGTGAACCCGGGAGGCGGAGCTTGCAGTGAGCCAAGATCGGGCCACTGCACTCCAGCCTAGGCGACAGAGCGAGGCTCCGTCTCAAAAAAAAAATAAATAAATAAAAAATAAAAGAGCACATACTGCTAATATTGTGTTTCAGCCTCTTTCCCCAGAGAACAAGTTCATTAGACACCTGTTGTGCCTCCCAATTTACCACAGATGACAGTTTTACTAAATTCATTGCCACTACATAACATTCATCCTTTATCTTTTCAGCCTCCAATATCAGTTTCCTTGCTGGTTCCCACCTAACTGCTAAGGTAATGCCACACTTCTGAGTTTTTGTTATGCAGCATTCCATTCCCAATACCAATTTCAACATTAGCAAAGATAAGCAGGCTAGTAACCTAAAAATTCCAGCGGCTTAACCCATTCAATGCAGCCATAGTGAGGAAGAAGGACCCTTTTTTCTACATGTTCCACACATGGTCACCCAGAGACCAGGCTAGGAGATTTTACCAATTGGAATTTTACTCATCTTCATGGCTAGAAAGTCAGCTGGAGGTTCACACACCAATTCTTGTCTGTTTTGGCTTGGAAAAGATTAACTAAACTTCTATTCATAGCCCACTGACAACTATAAGAGACCTGGAATGTTTGGTGATCATCATTGTGTCTGCTACAATATGATTTCATAGTTTTATTCACATCAATTATATACTTTTTCCTGTTTCCTCTCTAAAGTTTTTAAAATGAGGACAAGAATATACATTTCAAAATAATATTTTGAAAATTACATGAGATAAAGGGCTTCCACTGTGTCGGATTGGTATAAGCCCCCTATATATACATTATTCTTAAAATTATAGAATTTTCAATGTTTGCATGCAAAAAGATCTTACATAGTTAAAGATCCATGTACATCAATTTAAAAGAAGGTGCTTGAGAATTTAAGTTACTTACCTTAAACTGTAATCATCTTCATCATCACATGATTTCATTTGTTTTGAAACAGGCCTAGATCGTACTTCTTGGCGATCTCTCTTAAATGAGTAGAGAAAGGTCATATATCATACAGAAAAAAAACCAAACCACTAAGATATACTCAAGTGCCTCTCTGAACATTCATCATTTCATAACTGTCCTGGGTTTCCATAACATAAAGGCACAGAATTCTAAATGCTATAGTATGAAGATAAGGTCTATAACACTAGTTGCACCTTTCATTTGTTATGGGTTAAAAAATTCCATCCTAAGGGGAAAATGTAAGAATATCAAGGCCTTTACATAATATTTCTAATTCCGGCTTCCCCATCCCTTTAGAGTCTTTCAACTTACACAGCATACAACAGAAATTAGAAGTAGGCATAAGACATTTTTTAAAAAATTCACTTAATGGGTAGAAAAATTTGTCGCAAATCAGGAAAAACTTCAATGTTGAGAAGGCTGTGAAGATGCTAAAAGTGAAGTATCAGGAGTAAAAGCTTTTGACAAAGACACATCAAGAAATTAAAGTAAGGCAAGATGGTGGAATAGAAGCCTACACTATTCATACCCTCTGCAGGAACACCAAATTTTAACAACTACCTGCACATAAAAACATCATCATGAGAGCTAAAAATCAGGTGAGCAATCACAGTACCTGGTTTTAACTTCATATCATTGAAAGAGTCATTGAAGACGGTTGGAGAGACTTAAATCGCTGATACCACCCCTCCCTGACTCACTCCTGCAGTGACTGTGCAGCCTGAAGAGTCTGTGCACTTGGGGGAGGGACAGCACAGTGAATGGGGGACTGTACACTGAACTCAGTGCTGCCCTGTCAGAGTGGAGAGCAAAGTCGTGTGGGGCTGAGACAGTACCCATGCATGGAGGAAGCATTTGGACTAGCTATATCCAGAGGAAAATCGCCCATCCCGTGGGTCAGAACTCCAGTTTGTCAGCAAGTCACCACCACTGGCCAAAGTGCTCTGGGGTGCTAGGTAAACTTGAAGGCAGTCTAGGATACAATGACTCCAATTTCTAGGCAAACCCTAGTGCTGGGCTCGGCTCAGAGCCAGAGGACTAGGGTGGCACATAGGGAGACACCAACTGTGACCTAGGGAAACACCAACCGGGTCACTAAAGGATTGCTTCCACCATGCCTTCCCCAACACCAGGCAGTGCAATTCGCAACAACAAAAGTGTCTCCTTCCTTCTGTTTAAGGAGAGGAGAGGAAAGAGTAAAGAGGACGTTATCTTGCATCTTGGATACCACCTTGGCCATGGAAGGCATCCAGTGGGGTGCCAGGCAGAGTCACACAGCCACCATTACAAGCCCTAGCTCCTGAATGACATTTCTAGACACATCCTGGGCCAAGAGGGAACCTGCTGCCTTGAAGGGAAGGACCTAGTTCTGACAGCGTTCATCACCTGCTGACTAAAGGGACCTTGGGCCTCAAATAACCAGCAGTAATACCAAGGTGTTAATAGTAAGCCATGGCCCTTGGGCTCTGAGACATACTGACTTCAGGGGTGGCCCAGCACATTCCCAGTTATAGTGGCTACAGTGAAAGACTCCTTCTACTTGTGAAACAGAGGGAAAAGTAAAGGGACCTTTGTCTTGCACCTTAAGTACCAGCACAGCCACAGCAGGGCAGAGCACCAAGTGGACTCTTGGGGTCCCTGATTCCAGGATTTGACTCTTAGACAGCATTTCTAGACTTGCCCAGGGCCAGAGGGGAGCCCATTCCCTTGAAGGATGAGTCCCAGGCCTGGCAATATTCACCACAACCTGACTGAAAAGCCCTTGAGCTTTAAGTGAACACTAGCAGTGGCCTGGCAAAACCCCGCTATGGACTGGTGGTGGTGGTGACCGCAAGGAGAGGCTCTTCTGCCTGTGGAAAGGGGAGGGGCGAGCGTGAAGGACTTTATGTTGTAGTCTAAGTGCCAGCTTAGCCACAGAACACTAGAGCACCAGATAAATTCCTAAGATTTCTAACTTCAATCTCTGACTACTAGACAGCATCTCTGGACCCACCCAGGGCCTGGGGAACTCGCCACCCTGAAGGAAAGGACACAAACCTGGCTGGCTTCATCACCTGCTGATTGTAGAGCTCTAGGGCCGTGAGTGAATATAGGTGGTAGCCAGGTAGTGTTTATAGCAGGTTGTGGGCAAGATCCAGTGCTGTTCTGGCTTCAGGTTTGACCCAGCACAATCCCAGTGGTGCTGGGTACAGGAGTGCTTGCATCACCACACCCCTAGTTTCAGACAGCTCAGCACAGACAGAAAGAGACTCCGTTTGTCTGGGAGAAAATAAAGGAAGAGAAAGAGTCTCTGTCTGGTAACCCAGAGAATTCTTCCGGATCTTATCCAAGACCACCAAGACCTCTATGAGTCAGCAAGAACCCTAGTGATATTGGGCAGGGGACCCAAGTCCCTTTAAATAACTGGAAAGCCTTCTCAAGAAAAACTGGCACAAATAAGCCCAGACTGTGAAGAGTACAATACTTAACTCTTCAATGCCTACACACTGACAAACATCTACAAGCATCAAGATTATCCAGGAAAACATGGCTTTGCCAAATGAACTAAATAAGATACCAGTGACCAATCCTGGAAAAACAGAGACATGTGACTTTTCAGACAGCGAATTCAAAATAGCTGTTTTGAGAAAGCTCAAAGAATCTCAAATAATGGAAAAGGAGTTCAAAATTCTATCAGATAAATTTAACAAAGAGATTGAAATAATTAAAAAGAACCAAGCAGAAATTCTGGAGTTAAAAATGCAACTGACATACTGCAGACTGCATCAGAGTCTCTTAATAGCAGAACCAATCAAGCAGAAGAATTAGTCATCCTGAAGACATGCTATTTGAAAATACAGAGGAGACAAAAGAAAAAAGAATGAAGCATGCCTACAACATCTAGAAAATAGGTTCAAAGGGACAAATGTAAGAGTTATTGGTCTTAAAGAAGAGGCAGAAAGATAGATAAAGGTAGAAAGTTTATTTGAAGGGAAAGTATCAGAGAACTTCCCAAACCTAGAGAAAGTTATCAATGTTCAAATAAAAGAAGATTATAGAACACCAAGCAGATTTAACACAAAAAAGACTACCTCAAGGCATTTAATAATCAAACTCCCAAAGGTCAAGGATAAAGAAAGGATCCTAAAAACAGCAAAAGAAAAGAAACAAACAACATACAAACTTCCAATACATCTAGCAGCAGACTTCTCAGTGGAAAACATACAGACCAGGAAAGAGTGGCATGACATATTTAAAGGGCTGAAGAAAAAAAAATCTTTTACCTTAGAATAGTATATCCAGCAAAAATATCCTTCAAACATTAAAGAGAATAACAGATCTTCCCAGAAAAACAAAAGCTGAGGCATTCCATCAACATTAGACCTTCCCACAAGAAATGCTAAAGGTAGTTCTTTAATCTAAAAGAAAAGGATGCTAATGAGCAAGAAGAAATCATCTGAAGGTACAAAACTCACTGGTCATAGTAAACATACAGAAAAACACAGAATATTATAACACTGTAATTGAGTGTAAACTACTCTTAAGTAGAAAGACTAAATGATGAACCAATTAAAAATAATAACTACAACAACTTTTTAAGACATAGACAATACAATAAGACAGAAACAGTAACGAGTTAAAAACTAGGGAGATAAAAGTGTAGAGCTTGTATTAGTTTTCTTTTTGCATGTTTGTTTATGCAATCAGTGTCAAGTTGTCATCAGCTTTAAATAATGGGTTATAAGATAGTATTTGCAAGCCTCACAGTAACCTCAAGTCAAAAAAACATACAATGACCACACAAAAAATAAAAATCAGGAAATTAAATTATACCACAAGAGAAAATCACTTTCAATAAAAGGAAGACAGGAAGGAATACCACAAGACAACTGGAAAACAAATAATGAAATGGCAGGATTAAGGCCCTTATCAGTAATAACATTGAATGTAAACGGACTAAACTCATCAATCAAAAGACGGACTGGTTTAATGGATGATAAAACAAGACCCCATGATCTGTTGCTTACAAGAAACATACTTCACTTATAAAGATATATATAGACTGAAAATAAAAAGGGTAGAAAAAGATATTCTACACCAAAAAGAAAAAAAAAGCAGGAGAACCTATACTTAGACAAAATAGATTTCAAAACAAAAACTGTAAGAAGAGACAAAGAAGGTCATTATATAATGCTAAACAGGTCAATCCAGCAACAGGATATAATGATTGTATATATATGCACACAACACTGGAGCACCCAGGTACATAAAGCAAATATTATTTGAGTTAAAGAGAGAGCTAGACCGCAACACAATAATAGCTGGAGACTTCAGCACCCACTTTTGCCACTGGACAGATTTCCCAGAAAGAAACTCAACAAACATCAGACTTAATCTGCACTACAGAACAAGCGGGCCCAATAGACATTTACAGAACATTTCATCCAAAGGCTACAGATACACATTATTCTCCTCAGCATGAATATCATTCTCAAGTACAGACCATATGTTAGGTCACAAAACAAGCTGTAAAATGTTTTAAAAACTGAAATAATATCAAGCATCTTCTCTGACCACATGGAATAAAACTAGACGTTAATAACCAGAACTTTGGAAACTATACAAAGACACAGAAATTAGATAACATGCACCTAAATTACCAGTGGGTAAATGAAGAAAATAAGAAGGAAATTGAGAAATTTCTTGAAACAAATGATAATGAAAACACAACATGCCAAGATCTATGGGATATAGTGAAAGCAGTACTAAGAAGGAAATTTATGCAGCTGTAAGTGCCTACAACAAAAAAGAACAAAACCTTCAAATAAATGACTTAGCAATGCATCTTTTCTTCCCTTTTTGTTTGTTTGTTTGTTTGTTTGTTAGTTTGAGACAGAGAGAAACTCTGATGCCCAGGCTGTAGTTCAGTGGCATGATCATGGCTCACTACCGACTGGACCTTCCTGGGCTCAACCATCCTCCCTCCTCAGCCCCGCAAGTAGTTGGAACTACAGGCGTGCACCACCACATCTGACTAATTTGTATTTTTTTCTAGAGATGGACTTTCACCATGTTGCCCAGGCTGGTCTCAAACTTCCAGGTTCAAGTTGCATGCCTTGGCCTCCCAAAGTGCTGGGATTACAGGCATCAGCCACCACATCCAGCCAGCAATGCATCTTAAAGAACCAGAAAAGCAAAAGCAAACCAAACCCAAAATTAGTAGAAGAAAAGAAATGAAGATTAGAGCATTTGAGATTACAGCATAGAGAATTTGAAATGAAGAAAAGATTGATGAAACAAAAAGTTTGTTTTTTTTAAGATAAGCAAAATTAACAGACTAACAAAGAAAATAAGGGAGACGACTCAAATAAATAAAATTAGAGATTAAAAAGGAGGCATTACAACAGACAATGCAGAAATTCAAAGGCTCATTAGTGGCTATTATGAGCAACTATATGTCAATAAATTGGAAAATCTAGAGGAAACAGATAAATTCCTAGACACATACATACAACCTACCAAGATTGAACCATGAAGAAATCCAAAACTTAAACAGAACAATAATAAGTAATAAGATTGAAGCCACAATAAAAAAAAATTTCCCAGTAAAGAAAAGCCCAGGACCTGATGGCTGCACTGTGAATTCTATTGAACATTTAAAGAAGAACTAATACCAAACCAACTCAAACTATTCCAATAATTGGAGGAGGAGGGACTACTTCCAAACTCATTTTATGAGGCTAGTATTACCCTGATACTAAAACCAAAGACACATCAAAAAAAGAAAACTACGTGCCAATATCTTTAATGAATATTGATGTAAAAATCCTCAAAAAATACTAACAAACAGAATTCAGTAATATATTAAAAAGATCATTTGTCATGACCATGTGGGATTTACCCCAGGGATGCAAGGACAGTTCAGCATACACAAATCAATCAATGTGATACATCATATCAACAGAATGAAGGACAAAAACCATATGATCAGTTCAACTGATCCTGGAAAAGCATTTGATAAAATTCAACATCGCTTCATGGTAAACACACTTCAAAAACTGGGTATAAAAGGAACAGACCTCAATACAATAAAAGCCATACATGACAGACCCACAGCTAGTGTAATACCGAATGGGAAAAACTGACCGTCTTTCCTTTAAGATCTGGCTTACTTTCACCACCGTTATTCAACATAGCACTGAAAGTACTAACTAGAGTAATTAGACAAGATAAAGAAATAAAGGGCATCCAAATCAGAAGGAAGAAGTCAATTATCCTCATTTGCAGATGATATGCTCTTATATTTGGAAAAACCAAAAGACTCCACCAAAAACTATTAGAAATGATAAACTCAGTAAAGTTGCAGGATACAAGATCAACATACAAAAATCAGTAGTGTTTCTGTATGTCAACAATCTGAAAAAGAAATAAAAAGTAATCCCATTTACAACAGCCACAAATAAAATACCTAGGAGTTAATATAACCAAAGCAGTAAAAGATCTCTACAACAAAAACTATAAAACATCAATGAAAGAATTTGAAGAGGACACAAAAAAATGGAAAAATATTCCATGTTCATGGATTAGAAAAATCAATATTGTTAAAATGTTCATACTACCCAAAGCAATCTACAGATTCAATGCAACCCCTTGCAAAATACCAATCACATTTTCACAGAAATAGAAAAAACAATCCTAACATTTATGTGGAACCACAACAGACTCAGAATAGCCAATGCTACCCTAAGCAAAAAGAACAAAACTGGAGAAATCACATTACCTGGCTTCAAATTATACTATGGTGCTATAATAACCAAAACATCAGAGTACTGGCATAAAAACAGACACACACACCAATGGAACAGAATAGAGAAAATCCAGAAACAAATCCATACACCTACAGTGAACTCATTTTTGACAAGGTTGCCAAGAACATACACAAAGGGAAAACGGAATATCCACATGCAGAAGAATGAGACTAGACCCCTACCTCTTGCCATATACAAATATCAAATCAAAATGGATTAAATACTTAAACCTAAGATCTCAAAACAATGAAATTACTATAAGAAAACATTGAGGAAACTCTCCAGGACATTGGAGACAAAGATTTCTTGAGTAATACCCCACAAGCAAAGATCACCAAAGCAAAAATGGACAAATGGGATCAAATAAAGTTAAAAAGCTTCTGCACAGTGAAGGAAACAATAAAGAGACAGCCCACAGAATGGGAGAAAATATTTGCAAACTACGCATCGACAAGGGAATACAAGGCAGAAAATATAAGGAGATCAAACAACACTATAGGAAAAAAAACTAATAATCCAATTTAAAAATGAGCAAAAGATGTGAATAGACATTTCTCAAGAAAAACATACAAATGGCAAACAGGCATTAAAAAGGTGTTGAACATCATTGATCATCAGAGAAATGCAAATCAAAACTACAATATCATCTCAACTCTGATAAAATGGCTTATATCCAAAAGACAGGCAATAACAAGTGCTGGTGAGGATGTAGAGAAAGGGAACCCTGGTACACTGTGGGTGGGAATGTAAATTAGTACAACCACAAAGGAAATAGTTTGGAGGTTCCTCAAAAAACTAAAGTTACCATATGATCCAACAATCCCACTGCTGTGTATAGGTCCAAAAGAGGGAAATCAATATATCAAAGAAGTATCTGCACTTCCATGTTTGTTGCAGCACTGTTTACAATAGCCAAGATCTGGAAGCAACCAAAGTGTCCACGAACAGATGAATGGATAACTAAAATGTAGTACATATACACAATGGAGTACTATTCAGCCACAACAAACAATGAGGCCCTGTCACTTGCAACAACATGGATGTAACTGAAGGTCATTGAGTGAAATAAGCCAGGCACAGAAAGACAAACTTCACATGTTCTCACTTATTTGTGGGATCTGAAAATCCAAACAACTTAACATATGGAGATAGAGAGTTGAAGAATGGTTATCAGAGACTGGGAAGGGTAGTGGGGGATGCAGGGGTGGGAAACAAGGATGGCTAATGGGTACAAAAAATATAGTTAGAAAGAATGAATAGTACCTAGTATTTGATAGCACATGTTTATTATAGTCAAAATAATTTAATTGTACATTTTAAATTAACTAAAAGAGTATAATTGGATTTTTTGTAACACAAAGGATAAATAGTTGAGGGGATGGATACCCCATTTTCCATGATGTGATTATTATACAATGCATTCCTGTATCAAAATATCTCATTTACCCCATAAACACTTACTATGTAATCACAAACATTAAAAAATTTAAAAAGAGAAAGTGAGTAAACAAAAATTAAATATGAGAAACCTTATATTGTTCGCTTCTGCAGGGGTAGGAATCCACTCCCCAACCCCTTTCCTAGCTTGTCCGTATTCTATTCTGTTTTTTATTTGCAGGGGGAGATTTTTTTTTTTTTTTTTGAGACGGAGTCTGGCTCTGTTACCCAGGCTGCAGTGCAGTGGCCGGATCTCACCTCACTGCAAGCTCCACCTCCCAGGTTTATGCCATTCTCCTGCCTCAGCCTCCTGAATAGCTGGGACTACAGGCGCCCGCTACCACGCCCAGCTAGTTTTTTGTATTTTTTAGTAGAGACAGGGTTTCACCGTGTTAGCCAGGATGGTCTTGATCTCCCGACCTCGTGATCCGCCTGTCTCGGCCTCCCAAAGTGCTGGGATTACAGGCGTGAGCCACCGCGCCCAGCCTGGGGGAGATTCTTTTTATGGGGCTCTCTGAGCAGAAAACGTAAGGAATCCGTCATCTACTATAACATGGGGTCCTTTTGTACAAGCATTTTCCTGCTCTTCAGACACCGGCAAAAACTAAAAAATGAAATAAAAATATTTTTAGTAAAACATTTAATTATAAATTAGTAAAATGTAATTATAAATTTAATTATAAATATTTTTAGTAAAACATCTACTTATAAATTATAAAATACAAATCTGTAACCATTATCAAAATACATTACTTGAAATGTTATATATTATACATTTCTTATTCCTAAATTAACAAATAATTGTAGATTTGTATAAGGCATTAAGAAAAAATATTGCCTAGGTTTCCTTCCCTGCTTCCATCAACTCCACTGTGGGGGACAGGAAGGACAGAAAGTAAGAATCAAAATTAGGTAAGAACTGGTAAAAGTTTTAAAGTAGACTCTACTCCTCTAAGGAGAGTCACTCTATCCTATCAATTAATAATGAGAATTTATAATGAGAATTTAGAAGACTGGAGCATCTAAATGGAAAGTACTTTTTCAGTGGCTTTTAGAAAATGTGTGCTTACTAAAAACATATACATATACACATTCCTATATCTGTGCATATACATTCATGTTCGGTTTGTAATAATTCATTGAACTGAACACACATGCTTTGGCTAGTTTTTTGTATATATGTCATATATCAAATGAAAAAGATAAAAAACTAGCATTTATATGGAATTATTAATAATTGTACATTTACTTACTATTATTTCCTTAGCTTGTCGAACCACATCAGCTGTTTTTGCCTGTAATTCTGCATTTAAACGCCTAAAAGCAGAAAATAATTGGGATATACTGAAGATCGTAACAAAAATAAAAATTAAACTTCAGCAGTTACACGTTATCAAGTGACCTAATCAACAAATGCCAAAATATACATATGGTATTCTTACTCTAAAATGAACACAGCCATTAAGAACTTATCCTCAACTCCCCATGATTCCTCCTTCCTTGTGGTAGGACCTCAAACACTAAGTGTTAGCCTTTCTGTGGCCCTCTACTAATTTCAAGTGAAGCAACTTACCTAATATATTTGGGAAGAATAAGCTGGGTGAGTTCAACAGAGTTGTTATTAGCCTACCTGCAAAGAATACAAGTTCTAATCTTGCTTCTCCAGAGACAGGCCCTGTTCTAATTGTGGGCAGAAGTGGGCAGGGTATGGGGGAGACCTGTTCTGGTTTGGGGTGTTGCTTTAACTGGGGAGCTAAATGTGAGGTTTAGTGAGCAGCCCACCAGCTGAGCTGTGAGGTGGCTCACACCTCAGCTACACACTTTAACATCAAGCTTCCTTGGAAATAAAGGTGACTATCTTGACCTCGACCTGTCACTCCTTTTTTAATTATGATTTTTCATTCTACCTGGAATCTAGCAAGACAAGGAATACTATTTACTTGGTCCTATATTAAGACTGCAAGAATGACATTATTATTGAAAGAAATTGTTTTTAAAGGAAAAACTGCCCATAATCCTACCACCACCATCCATTTTTATTTTTAATATTCCCTTCCAATTTTCATCTATAGCATATACACAATTTTGTACTGTTTGCCCACAGAAATATAAACGGAATATCTATCTCCACATAATCTTTATAAGCATGTTAAACGGCAATGCAATTCAATAAATTGCAATGAACATAATGTACTGAACTCTGTCCCTATTGTTAAGTCCCCTTTTTCACTTTTAAAGGTTAACACCATAATAAACATACTCAAAAGCATATAACTTTTTTCTCCTGTTGAAATGTCACATTTCTAGAGCACCTAGGATCTTCTGAGGTTATGTGAAGGAGACATAAGGATTTGAAAAATTAGTTATCTTGTTTTTCTTAGACATGTGATTCACAAGTAACACAAAACACAACCTCCAGCCCAAGGGAAAAAAAAGAAGAGGGAGATCAGTACCATATCCTTTAACAGTCTGAAGCTTTAAGAAATATTTTTATATCTTAGGATTACGTGGTCAAAAGAAAAATATCTAAGAAAGACTTAAAGGTGCCTTTAAAGTGCCATTACCTGATTTTTCAAATTTCCCTAACAAGGACTAGATCACAAGGACTTAAATGGAAGTTTCCAATTAATATAGTGGACCAAGATGACTGAGAAGACTATTCTACTCTAAATCCATGGACATGCCAGATAAAATGTAATGGAGGAAATATTGCTAAGCTCAAACTCAGGCAAGGGAAATGCCCTGGCACTAAGAATAAAGCAGCAATTCAAAGTGAGAGCAACAAACAGGAACAGAAGCCAAAATAGCTTAAAAGCTAGAATCTGATGCATGTGAGTCATGAAGGGATACACCTGTGAAACACAGACTACAAAAATTCTACCCACAACCTTAGGTGAGCAGAAATGAAACTAGAACCATGGGTAGAAAAAGATTCTCTTGCGAGTAATTAAAACAAACAAGAGGGAAGTCCAAATTCATCTTACCTAAATGATACATGCCAAAACTTTAAAATAGAAGAAAGCTGATGTGGAATCAATGAAAACTTGAAACTAGCAAAGGTAAATTGAAAACCACCCTATAGGGACATTTACTCATCTAGAATATGTAGGACTCTCTCAAAAAGCAAATTGCTAATGATGATTTCAAAAAGGTAACAAATTGCGTAAAGAAACAAGCTGCGAAAAGAAAGAATCAGCAGACGTGAGGAAAGAGAAAATTTGTAATATAAGAAGAAGAGATAATATAACAATTCAAAAAAGATTTTAAAATTAGCATTAATTTGTAAAAAAAATGTGTACAGAAAAAAACATTAGGCAAGAGCCAATTTTATCACAAAAAAATGCTGAATTAGATTGAAATAATAAATTACACAAATGAAAAACACAGTCACTGAACTTAAGAAGAACTCAAGGAAATTTGACGGATATGTTGAACAATATAATGGACATAGAAGGAATGAGTGAATTAGAAGGCAGATATAAAGAAATCACCTACAAGGAGATACAAAAAACAAGGGGATAAAACCACAAAAGACAGGTTAACATCCATTGAAGACAGATGTTCTGTACCTACTATAACAGAAGTTTTAGAAATCCCAGAGAGGCCCGGGCGCAGTGGCTCACATCTGTAATCCCAGCACTTTGGGAGGTGGAGGAGGGAAGATCACTTGAGGCCAGGAGACCAGCCTGGCCAACGAGGTGAAACCCCGGCTCTACTAAAAACACAAAAATTAGCCAGGTGTGGTGCTGCATGCCTGTAATCTCAGCTACTCGGGAGGCTGAGGCACAAGAATCGCTTGAACCTGGGAGGCAGAGGCTGCAGTGAGCCAAGATCATGCCACTGCACTGCAGCCTGGGCAACAGAGTGAGACTCTGTCTCCAAAAAAGAAAAAAAGAAATCCCAAGAGGAGTGAATGACAGTATTTCAAGAGCTAATGCTAAGAATTTCCCAAACTGAAGACATGGATCTCATGAAGAATAAAGAAAACAAATCCACCTGTGCATACATCACAGTGAAACTACAGAATTTTAAAGATAGAGAGTACTCCCTAAACTACCAAATCATTATTTTAAAAGAACAGAGAAAAAGTCTACCAGCATAATTATCTAAAAAGCTGACAGCAGATGGCTCATTAACACTTCCAACATTGTAACATTTATATTGTCTGTTGACAATATAAGGGTATCTTTAATGGGCTGAGAAGGAAAAGTTGGCCATCTAGAACTATATTCAGATAAACTGTCATTGAAGAATAAGTGCAAAGTAACAATTTTCAAAAAGACTGGAGAGTTTAAGACTCAGGTTTTCACAGAAAATAACGAAGGGTCTACACTTCAGGAAGGAGGAAAATGAATCTGGAAAAAAAGAATCATGAAGATATCAGAAAACATGATAAATCTAAATTAGTACAGACTATAAAAATACATTGATGATTAACTGGGTGTGGGTGTATTCAAAACAACAAAGTAAAATATTATCTAACTTAACAGAGGAAACCAAGTTAAAGAATTCTAACATCTTTCCAAACCAGTAAAAATAAAGACATAATGAAAACCCATTCAACCAGCAGAAGACAGACAAGAACCAAAGACAAGACATAATAGAAAACATAAAAAATAAGGTGGCTAAGACAATTTCAAGTTATGTAATAACATAAATAAATTAAATTCACTTATTAACAGGCAGAAATTATCAGACTGGTTATAAAAAGAATGCTCTTACTGATAAATGACATACAAAGTTTGAAAATAGAGGGATGAAGAAAGATATAACAGACACTGCATAATAATGAAAGGAATCAAGAAGATTTCAATAAGTCAAATAAGATACTCCCAAACAAAAATGGCCACAATCATAAGGATTTTTTAAAACTATAATTATAATTGATGATTTTTAATACACTTCTAACAGAAACCAATAAAGCTGCAACAAAAAAAAGCGAGGATACCGATGTCATGAAGAACAGATATAGAACAGATTAGACAACAAATAATAAATACATTTTCTATCAAAGAACACATAGAACTTTTACAAAAAGGGAACATGCACTTGGCCACAAATAAGTCTCAATACATTTAAAAACTTAATATATCAATTCTCTAATCATATGAAATTTAAAATAAACTAGGCTGGGCCTGTAATCCCAGCACTTTGGGAGGCCGAGGCAGGTGGATCATTTGAGTCCAGAAGTTAAACACCAGCCTGGGCAACATGGCAAAGCCCAGTCGCTACAAAAAATATGATACAAAAATAAGCTGGGCATGCTAGCACATGCCTGTAGTCCCAGCTACTCAGGAGCCTGGGAGGTGAAAGTTGCAGTGGGCTGAGATCACACCATTGCACTCCAGACTGGGCAACAGAGTGAGACTCTGTCTCAAAAAAAAAAAAAAAATTACCATGGCATGGTGGCATGCGCCTGTAGTCCCAGCTCCTCAGGAGGCTGGGGTGGGAGAACTCTTAAGCCCAGGAGGTCAAAGCTGCAGTGAGCCATAATCACACCACTGCACTCCAGCCTGGACATCAGAGCAAGACCTTGTCACATACAAACTTAGAAAAATAAAAACTAGACAACAGTAAACAAACAACCCTATGTGCTTGCAAACTAAAAAACACACTTCTAAAAATTACTATGAAAATCATATAATATTTAGAACTAAATAACCATAAAAGAAATATACATCAAAACAAGTCCTGGAATATAGTTAACCTATAGTTGAAGAGAAATTTAAAGACACAAATATATTTATTTAAAAATAAGAAAAACAATAAATGAGGTAAAGAAATTAAAAAACAAAAAATCAATCCACCCCAGTTAGAAGAGATCATTTGTCTTTATTTCTATAAAGATTAATGAAATTTTAACATCGCACAGATTAGCAAGAAAACCAAAGCTGGTTCTCTGGAAAGACCAATGAACAGATAAATCTCCCAGGAAGCTTGATAGAAAAAGAAAAAGACAAAACTAAACAATATTGGAAAGCTACCAAAAGGAGGGGTGTACATGGTTATGCATACAGTCAAGATTTCAAACGTACCACCATAGAGTCAGTTTATGCTAATATATTTTAAAACATACATGATATGAACACTTTTCTAGAACCAAAAATTATTTTAGAAATAACCAAAAACTATTCTAGAAATAGTACATCTAAATAATCATTAAAGAAGCTAAATTCATAGACAAAAAGAATCCCCTTGAAAAAAGAACACTAGACTCAGACAGTTTCACAATTTTAATCAAAGGGCAGAAAATCTGTAATTATAAAAAGCTTCCAAGAAAAGAAACAAAAAAGGAAAACTATTTGGCTTCTTTCATGTAGCCAGAATAATATTGATATCAAAAACGGAAAGGAAAAGAACTTGAAAAAAAAAGTTTAACACCCATTTCACTTTTGTTCATAGATGCAAAAAACCTACATAAAATTATAGCAATCATATCTAGCAGTCTTTAAAGTAAAACAAGAAACCTGCCTTTGTAGTTCAGTATGTTAAAACATTAAAGGAGGGGAAAAGAACATACCAATACCCGAATTAATTGGGGAAAAAATAAGTTTTGATACGTTTAACACTCATTCAAATTAGGAAATAAGGGGAAGAATTTTAAACATAATAAAAAGAATCTACCAAAACCCTAGGGAAAATCTCAAATGTAGTGATTATTAAAAGTGGGCTTCTCAAAATCATAAACAAGGGAGCTCACCATCACTTTTTCTGTTCCATATCACATGGGAAGTCCTAAACAGAGAAAAAGACAGAATGCAGGAGAATTATCAAGGGACAAAATGATCAAAATTTGCATATAATTGTCTTCATCAAAAATCCAAGGGACTTCACAGAATGAATAAAAGAGCCCAGCAGGACTGAAGATCTGTGTGTATATAAATACAGATGTAGCATCAACATCCAAAAATTCTACATTTATAACCAATTAGAAAATGTAATAGAAAAAATTCCACTTATTATATAGCAACTAATCAGTACCTTGAAGCAAATTATATATGCAAGAATTTTATGTAGTAAAATGATAAAACACTATTAAAGGTCAAATAAATCCCATAAATGGAGAAGTATCATATTCATGGAAGATTTAATAGCATAAATAACTCAGTTATCTGCAAATTAATCTGTAAATCCAATGTGACTGGGATTTATGAGGGTGCTTGCCCTACCAGTTATCATGTTATCTTATTGTTAGCTATCTGTATTATAATACAGGAATGAAGCTTGAAAAATTTATCCACTTGAGCGATTACCATCTTCCTTAGTCTATCCTCTTAGATAGTGATTATTTCCTCCAACAGGAGCAGAATTGCAAAGGTTTTGGATTGAGGTCTCTGGGAAGTAGCATTCTAATGATTAATGCCAAGACAACAGGTGGCAAAACAGATACCATACTGTTATTTCATATTCTTGCTTACAGGGATGGCCAGACATTTTTACTCTTCTGCATGACACAGAAGTACTCTAGAAGATTCAGGTAGTGTAGGGAGTTACTCTGTTCATATGCTTCAGAGTGCACAACTCAGAGTACAGATGACAGAACAAGTAACAGCTGGCCACCATATAATACTGTTTAGCTATCTCGTTTTATAAAACAACTCGTGCTAGAATAGAATAATGGTCCCTGTATATTTCTCATTTTAAACAGGACTATATCCCTAACGATGCACCAGAACTAGGTGCAAAATACAAAATACACTCTCAAATAACTGAACAAATAAACCTAATCCAGGTATTTAATACTATATGGTTAATGATAATGAAAATAACCGTTTTGATTCAGACACAGCTGATAAAGAACTATATATAGAAAATAGATTAAGTTGCTTAAGTACACTTTTGAACTGGGATAATCTGCCCATTTCATAAGAGAGAAGAAGATATGATTATCTTCCTACTTGCTGTGGTAAATTGGTCGGTGTATAGTTCATCTAAACACAGTACCCTTCAGTTTTAATTTCAAATATGCTTTAATTTTAAATATAGATCATATGTAGATCATATGGTAACTCTATTTTAACTCTCTAATACAAACTGCCAACTATTTCCAAATTTTAATCTAGTTATTTTATATTAAATTAAAAAGAAAGGGAGTCGTTAAAAGGCACTTTTTTATAAGGGTATGTACGATGGCAAATAAAACAGGCACGGTCTCTGCCCTTAGAACTTACAGTCCAATGGAGGAGACAGACAAAAAGGAAATTCACAAATGAATTTATTGTAACAAATTATGCTAATTAGAAAGAAAAACCAGTGAGACAATGAAAAAGACCAACAAGGGAGCATACTTGGCATGGTCAAGGAAGGCCACTCACATTACAGGTTGAAGGCGTGTGTGACTGCCTCTTTCCAGAGACAGAAAGAAAACCTGGGAGTTTTCGGAACTAAAAGGCCAGTGAAGCTGGAGAATTTTAGGATGAAAAGGGGAAGAGGGAATAAGATCAAATACGGGAGGCAGGAGGAGCCACATCGATCAGAGCTTTTGAAATGCAACAGGAAACTATTGTACAATTTTAAGAAAAGGAATGATATGATCAAATTAAAAGATTACACTGACTGCTGTGTGAAAACTTGGGGATGAGGAGTGGAATGGGCCAAAAATGAAAGCACCGTTGTCAAGATAGTTGTAATTACACCGAGAACAGGTAACAAAAGGAACATTTGAACGAGAACGGTAATTCTGATTGCAGTGGGAAGCATCCTTTCAATTTAGAAACCAACCTAAAGGAAATTTACCCAAGGTAAACTCTATGAACTTGAAATTAAGCGAAATAACCTAAACTATCAAATGAACTATTTGCGGCAATTCCTGCTACCCGAATAACTTTCAACAGTATCTTGCTGTTTACTTGAGCTACATTTCAAATTAAACAACATGTTTACTTGGGCTAAATTTTCGCCCACTTCAAATATCTTCGAATACGCAGGCGAACTACTCAGATCAGAGATAAAAGGATCAACGGCAGGTGAACGAGATGACGAGAAGGGAATGCTGCAGAGTGAGTGGTCCCGAAGATCCAGCCAGTCTCCAGGAAAAAAAGCCTCATTTAGATGAAAGAAAGAAGGAAAAGCTCAACCGCTGAATTTCTTACTTATATTCTTCCTCCAAGGCGAGGAGGTCGGGTCCAGGTGTAGAGGGTTGCTGAACGGGTGGCGGGAGCGGAGTCCCTGGAACGCTGCTTCTCTGTAAAAGAGCCAGAGACTTTCAGAGCCAAAGTTAAAGGAGGTTAGGCGTCCTAGTCGCCGGAGCCTAGACGCTCCCCAGGAGCCTGGAGTCGAACTGACCGTAAGACCCAGACTTCGCCCCGCCATCTTTGGCGACTGCGACGCGGTTACCGAGGCAACGACGCATCTTCCCGCGAGAGTTTCCACATCCCGGGCAGCCTCTAGCCCGGTCGCCTACACCTTCCCACTCCCAAATTCTGTGCGGAGAGCCGGGCGAGACTCTGGCAGCCGCCCCGGCCTTTGCTCGCACCACTCGGCACTGCCCCAGTAACCCAGGAAGGCTTCTTAACTGGAAATTCGACTTACAGCCGGTGTAAATTCTCAACTTGGGGGTTGGAGGAGTTTCAGCCCAAAGAGGCAGGTCCGTTGCTGCTACTCTGTAGAAAGCAAGCTGATGAGGCAAGTTCCTCCCTGTTGTGCTCTTCAAACCGTTAGTGGCTAATCCGACCTTCACCCCTTTTGCTTAAAGTGAACTCTTCAGTGGAATTCAGAAGTTTTGATTTCTAATTTTTGTTTACAGCATGCATGGCTAAGACTCAGGCTCTCAAGTTAGTAAACCTAAATTCTTATCCTGTCACTGCCACTTACTAGTTATATGGCCTTGGGCAAATCACTCTGTATCTCAGCCACTTCATTCGTCAAATGGGAGTGAGAATAGTGCCCACTTGACAGTTACGAGAAGCAGATGAATTCGTGCTTAGGATCATGCCTGAAACACGTAAGCAGTTAATTATTTCAGTTGTTTTGGAATAAAATTGACGTCCGGAAATAAACCGTGATATGTATGGTCAACTGATCAAGGGTGCAAGACCATTCAATGGGAAAAGAATCGTCTTCAACAGATGAGGAGACAACTGGATATACAAATTCAAAACAATGCAGTTAGACCCTTACCTCACAACATATACAAAAATTTAAATGTATCAAAGACATAAACTTAGGAGCTAAAACTCTAAAACTCGTCAAAGAAACTGTTGGTGTAAATCTTTATGACCTTGAATTACAATTCTTAGAATCCTTGATGGATTCTTAGATATGACATCAAAAGCATTAGCAAAAAAAAAAAAAAAGAAAGAAAAAAGAGCCTGGGCACGGAGGCTCATGCCTGTAATCCCAGCACTTTGGGAGGCGGAGGCGAATGGATTACCTGAGGTTGGGAGTTCAGGACCAGCCTGACCAACATGGAGAAACCCTGCCACTACTTAAAAAAAAAAAAAAATTAGCCGGGTATGGTGGCTCATGCCTATGATCCCAGCTACTCGGGAGGCTGAGGCAGGAGAATTGCTTGAACCTGGGAGGCAGAGGTTGCAGTGAGCTGAGATTGCACTCCAACCTGGACAACAAGAGTGAAATTCTGTCTCAAGAAAAAAACAAAAAAGAAAAAAAGAAAAATAGATGAACTAGACATTATCAAAACTAAAAACTTTTTGTTTCAAAAGATACCATAAATAAAGTAAGAAGACCACAGGAAGAGGGGAAATTCTTGCAAATTATATATCTGATAAATAACTTGTATCTGGACTATAGAAAAAACTATTAAAATTCAAAAATAGGTGAGTGCAATGGCTCATGCCTGTAATCTCAGCACTTTGGAGGCTAAGTCAGGAGGATCACTTGAGCCCAGGAGTTCCAGACCAGTCAAGCCAACACAGTGAGACCCCATCTCTACAAAAAAAAAAAGGAAACAGATAAATAAAAATTAGCTGGGTCCAGTGGTACATGCCTGTAGTCCCAACTACTAGGAGACTGAGTTGGGAGGATCGCTTGAGCCAGGGAGATCAAGGCTGCAAAGAGCCATGGTCACACCACTGCACTCTAGCCTGGGTGACAGAGTGAGACCCTGTCTCAAAAAAAAAAAAATTTTTTAAAGACAACCCAAGTTAAAAATGGGCAAAGAATCTTCGATAGGGACTTCTCCAAAGAACATATACAAGTAACCAAAAAGCACATGAAAAGATGCTCAATATTATTTGTCTTCAGGGAAATGAAAATTAAAACCAAAATGAAATGCCACTTGACACCCACTAGAATGGCTATAATCAAAAAGATGGACAGCTAGATGCAGTGGCTCCCACCTGTAATCCCAGCACTTTGGGATGCTGAGGCGGGCAGATCACCAGAGATCAGGAGTTTGAGACGAGCCTGGCCAACATGGTGAAACTCCATCTCTACTAAAAGTACAAAAAATTAGCCAGCGGTGGTGGTGCATGCTTGTAATCCCAGGTACTCAGGAGGCTGTAGCTGGAGAATCGCTTGAACCCAGGAGGTGGAGGTTGCAGTGAGCCGAGATCGTGCCACTGCACTCCAGCCTGGGTGACAGAGGGAGACTCCGTCTCAAAAAAAAAAAAAAAAAAAAGGATGAACAATAACATGTGTAGAGGAGGATGTAGAGAAACTTGAACCCTCATAAACTGTTAATGGGAATGGGAAAATTGTGCAGCCACTGTGGAAAATGGTCTAGCAATTCCTCAATAGTTTATACACAGAGTTACCACACAATCCAGCAACCAGCAGCCACTGCTAGGTATACCCCACACAAAATGAAAACACACCCACATGAAAAGTATATATACAAATGTTTATATCAGGATTATTCATAGCAGCCAAAATGCAAAACGAACCCATAATGGTCATAAACCGATTAGTGGTTGAATAAAAAGTGGTATATTCATACAATGGAATATTATTCAGAAACAAGAAAGAATGAAGTACATATATACCACAATATGGATGAACCTTGAATATATTATGCTAAGTGAAAGAAGCCATTCACAAAAGACCAAGTATTATCTAATTTCATTAACAAAAGATCACATACTATAGGATTCTATTTCAATATGACAACATATTGTAGAAAATGTCCAGAATAGGCAAATCCATAGTAACAGAAGTAGATAGTAGTTGTCTAGGCTTGGCAGATGATGGAGGGTTAGCTAAGGAGTTGCAGGGTTTGGGGGGTGCTAGTGAAAATATTCTAAAATCAATTGTATTGATGGTGTACATGTCTGTGAATACATTTAAAGCCAATAAGTAGTACACTTTATATGGGTAAATACAGATATGTGAAATGAATCACTCAAGCTGTTAAAACGTCTTAAAAATAACAATTATTTACAACATCAAGGGATAAAGAAAGGAATACTATGCTAGCACTAATCAAAAGGAAGCTGGAGTAGCTATATTAATTTCAAACAAAGATGACATCAGAACAAGTAAAATTATCAGGGACAAAGAGGAGCATTAATGATAGAGGTCAATTCTCCAAGGGGATAGAACAATCCTGGTGTATATGCTCCTAACAATAGTGTCAAAATGCATGAGGCAAAAACTGATAGGACTTGCAAAGAGAAATAGACAAATCCATCATTATATTTGGAAACTTCAACATTACTCCTTCAGTAATTAACAGGTTAAGCAGGCAGAAAATCAGCAAGAGTTGCTCTGGACAGCACCATCAATCAACTTGATCTCATTGACATTTATAGAATACTCATTTCAGTAACAGCAGAATACACATTTTTCTCAAGGTCACATGGAACAGTCACCAAGCTAGAAAACATTGTACCCATAACACACTTTAATAAATTTAAAAGAATAGAAATTATATAGTTTAGGATAGCTGTAACAAAGTACCACCAAGTGAGTGGCTTAAAACAACAGAAATTTATTGTTCCATGGGTCTGGAGGCTAGAAGTACAAAACCACAGTATCACCAGGACTATGTTTTGCTTGAAACCTGAAGGGGAGACTCTTTCTTTGCCTCTTTCTAGCTTCTGATGGTAACTGTCACTTCTTGACATTCCTTGGCTTGCAGCTGCATCACTACAACCTCTCTTTGCCTCAATCATGTAGCATTTCCCCTGTGTGTTTCTGTCTTTGCATGGCATTCCTGCTTTTCATAAAGACTCCAGTAGTATTGGATTTGGGCCACCCTAATGACCTCATCCTAATGTAATTACATCTGTAAAGACCATATTCACAGGTACTGGGGGTTAGGAATTCAATATATGGTAGGGAGGGGGAGGTGGCACACTTTAACCTATAACAGAAATTATACAAACTGTGGTCCCAGACCACAATAAAACTAAACTAAAAATCAATAACAAAACAGCTGGAAACCCACAAAATATTTGCAAATTAAATTCATACTTCTAAATAATACATGGATCAAGTAAATATCTAGAGGAATTAAAAAAACATTTTGGGCTGGACGCGGTGGCTCATGCCTGTAATCCCAGTACTTTGGGAGGCTGAGGAGGGAGGATCACAAGGTCAGGAGATCGAGACCATCCTGGCTAACACAGTGAAACCCCATCTCTATTTAAAAAATACAAAAAATTAGCTGGGCATGGCGGCAGGCGCCTGTAGTCCCAGCTACTCGGGAGGCTGAGGCAGGAGAATGGCATGAACCCAGGAGGCACAGCTTGCAGTGAGCCAAGATCACGCCACCGCACTCCAGCCTGGGTGACAGAGCGCGACTCCATCTCAAAAAAAGAAAAAAGAAACATTTTGAACTAAATAAAATTTGAAATATAACTTATCAAAACCTGTGGAATGCTATGAAAGCAGAGCTTGGAGTGCTTAGCATTCAATGCATGTATTAGAAAAGAAGAAAAATCTAAACTCAATCTAAATATCTACCTTCAGCAGCTAAAGGAAAAATATTAAACTTAAAGAAAGCAAAAGAAAAGTAACAATAAACATTAGAACATAAATCAATGGAACTGAAACAGGGAAACAATAGAGAAAATCACAGAAACCAGAATCTAGTTAAAATCGATAAACTTATAGCTATGCTAACCAAGAAAAAGAGAAGATCCAAATAACCTGTTCTGTGTTCTTTTCTGTGATGGTCAGGTGTGGCCATGAGAGGAAAACAACGTTTGTTATACTCACAGGTTCTAGAAATAGAAAGCATGCCATGTCATATAGGGTTACATGGGGAAGCCTTGGGGTAGTCAGGAGACAGAAAACAGGAGCAAGAGAAAAGCCTGGACTAGAGCCTCTATTGGAGTTTCCACAGGAAAAGCAAGGTAGGGCAGAGTAAACCAATTAGGATTGGCTAGTATGAATAATTTCAGATGGCCTCGTAGTATACAGGTTGTCCTTAGTAATCTGGTACATAGCTCTGCAATGGCTAAGACAGAGGAAGGCCTGTTGTATATGGGCCAGACAGGGAAGGTAAGGCTTCATATTAGTTTTTTACATATCAAAGCCATGCTCCCTGGCTAAGCTAAGAATTGGCTTGCCCCAGGAGGGAGCAGTTTTTCCCAAGCCAGAAAGTATTTTTTTAAGATGTCAAAACATCATAATATACAGAAAATTTAAAAATCTAAACAATACAGTACCAATATTAGAAATGGAATATAAGTCATCATCAGTTGTCCCATGAAAATATAAAG